GCACAGCCGGACACTTAAATAATGAGAAACGTTATTATGACCAAGACAAAACCGTGATCTATGAAGCATCCAAACAGGCACGATTCATTTATGATTTGGCCAGATTGTAACAACGCCCGGTCAGCAGACAACAAGTAGCCTGACATTTTGTGCAGATAGTTAGCGTTGCATGGTTACGATGTATCATGGAGCAAAGAGCGAACATTTATTGTTGCTTTGAATTTGAAAAAGTGCTATTGAGAGAGTTATTATAAACGTTTATGGGTATCAATGTTTATTTTGTTCACATATCTTCGGGTGCTAATGTACAGTTAAGAAGCCACTGTTTAGCGCAGGTCAAAAGGTCAAAGGTCCAAATGCACAAGGAGCCGCTTTTTCATTTATGACTTTGGCAATTAGGACGATTCCGCCTTAAACAGGTAAAGTAAAGGCAACCGACTTGGTGCTGACAACGCCAAAAATCAGATGCCGATAGGTCTATAAAAAATATGAATCTAAGCTCTCTACAACGAATCTCTCCGGCTCTAGTCGCATGAAGCCTTCTCAGGCACACTGACATATAATTCAACACAATCTTGAACTCGAAACAGAAGCGTCGGAAACGCCGCACAGCTGTTCAGATACGAAATGTTTCTTTGTTGGTTCCAACAACTATTTCCTCCGTTGATGCACTAGGGGTATAAACCTTTAGGGACGACCAGATCAGCCACATACAAGACATCAATGAATTCAACATTACCTTCACTGGATGACCAAACACAGCACTTGCAAACGTAGAAACTTCAAGGTCTACACTTGAGTAGAAAACACTCGCAGACGTCAACTTAACCATTCGTACGCAACTAGATAGTCATGCTTGTCTGCCCTTGTTGGCTGCTAGTTCTAACATTCTCTTTCTCTAATTTCTCAGTCTTCAAGCGCCATACTAAACCTGGAAAATAAGACAGAATCTTCCCGATCATTCCAAGTTTAAATAATCGGTTTCCCTATCAAGTTCTGGAACGTTTCACACATGATTCATGCTTTCTCTCATCTGACGCGCTTTAAGCTAACTAACGTACTTCTTTCTTTTTTCAAAATCTGCTTGTGCCGCTAGGCGTCGCAGTCTATCAGATGATCGGCAACCGAGCCAGGGCGCGCTCAGTCGCTTCATATGCCGTGATGTTATGAAGTCTCAAGTTGTCCGTGACTCCTTCAATCCATCTTCTTCTTGGTCTTCCCCTGTCTCTTGGTGTTTCGATTTTCATGTTGTATGCTCTTGATGCTGGCATCGTTGGTTCCATTCTCATTAGGTGACCAAACCATTTCATTCTTTGCTTCTCAATAAATTTAACGATGGGTATGGTTCCAATAGTTCTTGTAATCACATCGTTTCTCACTCGATCTCTTCTGGTTTTATTCGCAGCCATTCTCAAACATCTCATTTCACAGGTGGTTAGTCTTCTCTAGTGTTCTTTTGTTAATGTCCAAGTCTGACATTGATAACCTAATGTCGGTATAAAGATTGTATTTATAATTTGTCTTTTTATCTTAGCTGGGACAGCAGGGTGTTTTAAAATTGGGGCAAGCTGGTATGCGACATTGTTGGCTTGTTGGATTCTTGCTTCGATCTCTCTGTCTATTTTACCATTGAATGTAAAGATACTTCCCAATTATTTAAATTCTTGCACTTGTTTTAGGCTGTGATCTAGAATCTTTATGTCGATGGTCTGTTGCTCTCTACTTATGCTCATGACTTCTGTCTTTTCAGTATTGATCTTCATATGATGCTTGAGGCAACTGTCGTGTAGTAGGTTTATGTGGTCTTGCAGCTGTTTACTATAACTGTGAAATAGGCATTGATCGTCGGCAAAGAGCAGCTCATTGAAGTCCTCCTGTTTATCGACATCTGTTGGTGTTATGTCTATTTTATTAATATTGTCCATAAATATTATGAAAAGTAAATGTGATAATACACAACCTTGTCTTACTCCTGATGTTACTGGGAACCAGTCTGTGATGCCAGCTCTTGTTCTAATGGCGCTTTCACTTTGTCTATAGATAGCCCTAACACAATCTAAAATTGTTCCATTTATACCGTAGTTTTCAAGAACTTTCCATAATAAATTTCTGTTTACTCTATCGAAAGCTTTTTCTTGATCTATGAAAGCGATGTTCATTTGATGTCTGTGTTTTATTGTCTTTTCACTAACTTGTCTTAAAGCAAAAATAGCGTCAGTACACCATCTTCCTTTCCTAAATCCGACCTTTGATGGGCTCAGGATCGGTTCTACAACGGATCTAATTCGTTGTTCCAGAATTTTGGCAAACATTTTTCCTACGTGGCTTAGAAGGGAGATGCCTCTGTAATTGTTACAATCTTGCTTATTGCCTTTTCTTTTCCAAATTGGGACTATAAGGGCTCTTTGCCAGTCTATTGGTACAGTTCTTTCATTCCATGCTTTCCTAAATATGTGGAGTAGCCAGGTGACTCAAATTTCTCCACAAGCCTGTATTGCCTCGGCTGATACTAACGTACTTGTCTCGAGTTATTCCCTACTAGATCTTGTCCCTGCATACATTGTACTGTGTAATCAATAACATTTAACTAAACTCAGGTACAAAATGCATACTTTGTAGTTAACCTCATTTACAAATGAAAACATTAATTAACCATGAGAAAATGACTCACTACACTCCCACAAACCCGTAAAAGGACCTTTACTTTGTCGATATTGTCTTTCCAGAAGATAGTATTATACTATGCTATGGCGAGGCAAGAGAGTCACAGCTCATGGCGATGGCGAGTGTGACCAGCGAGAACTGCACGCGTTAAGAAAATTATTCCACAATTGGAGCATGGAATTTCAAGACCATTGATTCTCTCCATAATGCAAAGCCTGGGCAGTATTGTAAAGACCATATGTTGTCAATGCATCATGCTCCCTTCTGGTTTGATGATTGCATGATGTGAAGAAGAGTGATCGCTCATGCCACTAGATGATAATAGTCATGGTAATAGGGATATTGATGATTAAAATTTTGATGAATGCTACTCACTCTCTTTGGCTGGCAATCTGACTTACGGTAATCTGACTTAGCAAGGCTGTTTCACCAACGACCCCAAATGATTGTGCTTGACTCAACGAGCGATCGCTAGAGATCCAAATGTCTGCTCAACTAATAAGACAAGCTTCAAGGAACAAAACGTACTAGCAACAATTGATGGTAACATTTATATAAAAGCAAAGCTTAATGTTAGCAGGAGTCAGTTGACGTCTGCGTGCGCCATATTGCAATTTGCATACGGACCGTCAAATCTGCAACATCAGCCTGTTAGCAGATGAATGGGGAGGCCGCTATGTCGTAATCATTGGAGGATGGGGAAGGGCTCCTCCGGAGGCATAAGATTTGTTTAAGAACGCTTTAATAATACTTATAATTAATATTATTAATTATTATCTTGTGCTGAATAGCAAACAAATACAATGCAAAATTTGAAATAATACACAAATGTAAGGGAGTGGCAGTGGCCTAGCGGCTAGACGCTCGCTCGCCGATCGGAAGGTCGTGGGTTTGCTCCCTGCCGGAGCCGGACTTTTTTCAAAAATAACCTTGACTTTCAGGTCGACCCAGCCTTGAGTGGGTACCGGATGCAGTCCCAGGAAATAAAGGCGGCCGGCGTGATGCTGACCACATCACCCATCTTGTGCAGATTGGTCTTTAAAAATATAGGGCTAGTCCTATATGACCTATAGCCCTAAAGGCTTGGAAAGGGGACCTTTATCTCTACTTTTTTTTTTTTTACTTGAATATTAACGAAGAGTTACTGATATTGTCATGGCGAGGGATGGGAAGCTAGAAGGATGAACATTAAAATGGACGAATACTAAAAAGGACGAATATCAGTAGAGTTTTTCCCACATGAATTAATTAACAATTGTTTAATCCGTTTCCAGGTCGCGATTTTGCATATCTGTTCTTTAATAACAACAGCAACAAAATCACTCCAAAATCGATCTCAGAAATCATTGCAAAAAACATTTTAATTGCATATTCTAACCGGTGTAATTAGTAATTCTTTATCATTATGAGAGCAATTTACTGGTTCTGGTGACGTAAAAACATTCTAGGTCTCCATAAATACACAAATAACATTTTTAAAGATTATTTCTGTTTTAGGATGGGGAAAAATTGGCTGTTTGAAAGTTTAATCACCTTTCATTATGACATTACGTAATGTCACTTCTGGTTACTAATTCCCAATGATTCATTAGCATTTCCAGACGTTCTACAAACGATCGTTTTCAAGATGTTATCCAATAAAGCTTGTTTTGTTCACATCGTCATCAATTTAATATGCTGGTTAACAAAAGCGATGTATGACGTCATTTTTCGAGGGAAATCTGCAGCAAGGCAACCATTCATTTTTGAGCACTTTGAACTGGCCAATCATCTTCTTTTTTCCACGTTTGTGTATGTATGTTTGCATGTGTACATATGTGTGAGTATGTGTGTTTATGTATGTATAGGTAATGCTTACATGTATGTAGGTAAGTGTGTTTATGAATGCATATGTATGAGTGTGCAGGTGTCTGTGTAGGTATGAGCATGTAAGAGTGTGTGTATTTTTGAGTGTGTATGATTGTAAATGTATTTATGTATGTACGTATGCGTTTATATATGTATGTATGTATGTATGTATGTATTTATGTATGTATGTATGTATGTATGTATGTATGTATGTATGTATGTATGTATGTATGTATGTATGTATGTATGTATGTATGTATGTATGTATGTATGTATGTATGTATGTATGTATGTATGTATGTATGTATGTATGTATGTATGTATGTATGTATGTATGTATGTATGTATGTATGTATGTATGTATGTATGTATGTATGTATGTATGTATGTATGTATGTATGTATGTATGTATGTATGTATGTATGTATGTATGTATGTATGTATGTATGTATGTATGTATGTATGTATGTATGTATGTATGTATGTAT